GGTGGCACTGGGGGTCCCCTCAACCCAAACCAGTCCGTGACTCTATACTGGGGCTCACGGGAACTAGGGCGCATGGTGTATCGGGGTGTTTGGGCTGGGGCATGCAGAACAGGGCTGTGTGGTGGTGTTGGGGTGTATTGGGGTACACAAGGATGGGGATGTTTGGGGACCAGGGTGCAGAGGGATGGGGCACACGGTGTGTCAGGGCTCACAGGGACTGGGACGGATGGCGACCAGGGCACACGGTATTATTGGGGTGCACAGTTTATCGGGGTGCTCTGGGACCTGGGCCACTGTGAAGAGCCCGCTGCCCCTGAGGGTGCCCTGCGGGACAGCCTCTTCACGCGAAACACCCCTTTTTTGGTCAAAGAAGGAAATTTCTGCACTTCAAGACCCTTTAACGTGTGAGAGTCAGCTCGTGGGGCGAAAGCCCCATGGCGTGAGATTTGGGGTAAAACCCACTCAAACCCGTTTCTTGAACATCCCCCCTGGGGTACATCCATGGATTCAGCGATGCTGAGCCACAGGAAAAACCCAAGCAGGCATTTGCTAAAACAAACTCGTTTAATGCGGGAAGGAAAATACATCCTGGCACCAAAACATACCAAACTACGGTAACGCTACACCCCAAACCCCCCGTGGGTCAGTATTTACAACTGGGTCTCCCTCCCCCCTTCCTTATTTACAAAGCTTTTTTGAAACTAATCCAAGCGTTGGTTTTGGGCTTTTGTTTGGTTTTTTTTTTTTTCCTCCTGAAAGCAGGGAGTTAAAAATTCCACAGGGTTACAGAGCCTGGGCTCCCGCCAAGGTGCTGAAGCCCGGTGCAGGTCCAAAACGTCCCCGAAAGAAGAGGTTTACTAATGGCAAAAGCTGCCAGGAGCAGTCGAAACTCAATTAAAATGGGAAGGCAGGGAGCTGGATGGCACACTCACTTTGTCCAAACCCACCAAAATTAAACGTCTTATTTACTGAAACCAGCAAGTCAGAGGCAGTTTTTCTCTTTCCTTCACAGCGCAGACCCCTCGCACATCTCACGGGGTGACAAAAGCCAACGATACCACTCAGCAAGAGAGTAAAATAAAAAAAATATCTTTTTTTCTTAAAACAAACTGAACAAAAACGAGTTGAAACTTTTTGACTTGGCTTTGCTCGCGCCTCTCCGGAATTTCCTGGATCCTGAAGTTGGGCAAATTGCTGTACCCTTCCTAGTGACGGCTCGCTCGTGCCTGTGCACGACCTCGGGAGGGCTGTTCCGGCCGTGAAACAGGGTTGGAGTTTAGTCCCGGGATCAGTTAAGCGGCGACGGCACCGTCGGATACACGGAATGGGAACAGCAATTTTCAACAGGATCCGTTCAGGTGAAGAGCTGGCAAGAGAAAAGCTGCCCGGCCTTCACACGCTACGGCACGGATTTTAAACAACAACCTCACAAAGCCCACACAGGAATTACAAACCCTCCCCCTCGTCCCACGGCGCAGAGTTTAAATTATCCCCTTCAATATTAAGTCCACGGTTAAATCAATGTAACGCCGCTGCCCGGTCTGTCTCCCCAGAGGAGCAGCGTTCCTCTGGTCCGGCATCCCGCCGGAGACGCTACTCTCCGAAAATCCACAGAATGTTGACTCCCGATAAACCCAGATTTACACGCCTGCGAAAACAAAGGCATCCTGATCAATCTCACGAAAAATCAAAGCGCCCGTTTAAAACACCCAACGGAAAAGCCCTCACTTCGGCCCTTTGGTGCCTTGCCCCAAACCCCCGAGCCAAGGGGAATCTGGGTGTAGGTTCCATTGCTCACGCGGGCAAGATTTCCCCGATTTTACCAAAAAGCTGTTGTTATCTCCCAGGAGAAGGTGATTTGAACAGCACTGCGACCACCCCGCTCTAGCAGTTTCAGTCTGAAGTGCCTTCAGACAAGGCCTTTCAAATCACGGCGCTCCGTTCACGTCCCGTACGTGGCGCGACGACACGTAACGTCGGGCACTTACCCCAGCATCCCGGATTCTTTGGTCTTTATGATATACAGAAACATCAGCAAGGTATGGAACATGTTGTTTCTGCCCTGAATCCACAGGAAGAGAAAAGAACTTAGAAATCAAGCTCATTATGAGAAATCACAGCAAGATTTCATCGTATCACAGACTGGTTTGGGTTGGAAGGGACCTTAAAGATCATCCAGTTCCAATGCCCCTGCCATGGGCAGGGACACCTTCCATAGCCCAGGGTGCTCCCAGCCTCATCCAGCCTGGCCTTGGACACTCCCAGGGATGGGGCATCCCCAGCTTCTCTGGGAACCTGTCCCAGTGCTCCCACCCTCTCCGTTTCGGGTAGAATAAGCGACCGTAGCGAAAGCCATGGTGAAACGGTGTTACGGGGCAGGTTGTCGGGCTTTTTGCCCTAATACTTTACTTTTTCCATTAAGTAAATACCAGAAAAAGAGCAAATATGGGTTTTGGCTGGAATATCATCTCTAAATAGTTCAAATCCCAAAGCTTTTCGGAAAGCACGAGATCCAGCAACCACCAGGGATCAATATAAAATGAATATTCGCAGGAGAATTTTACTGGTTTGAGACTGGCAGCTTCTCCCTGGAATTCTTAGGGACCAGCATCGGGGGTACTGGCCTTAAGGGGTGATAACATGCGTTGGGGATTACGAGATTTGGTGTTTTAATTGCTGAAAATGGGCAAGAGGAAGCTACTACCTAGGTAGTTATGTGTCTTAAGTAGATAGCAAAGACGTTATTTAGTAGCAGACTAAGGACCATGTCGTGGTCAAGGACTAAGCCAGCATCTACCTCCTGCACTGGCCCAGGCTACGTGTAAATAGTCAACCACTGTGGTGAGTTCTTTAAAAAAGTAAACCAAACCCACCCAGACGTGCCAAGGATTTGCTGACAGCAGAAGAGCAGCAGTAACGCCATCCTACCTTGGGCAGGTTGTAGACGTGGCGCTGGTAGATGAGCGCGTAGTGGGGTGGGTTGATGCTGTTCTGGTAGATGCAGAACACGTTTCCGTTTGAAGTGTCTGCGAATGAGAAGGTGGAAAGACAACGGGGATTTCAAAGGTGCCGATGCGATCCAAGAGGGAGAGAGCAGCTACACATGAGCGGCAGTACCTGGTTTATCTGGAGTCTGAATGAAGTGCTGGGAAGTGAAGGTTTTGCCATCGGGATATTTGGGGTGAGGTGGCAGCCGGGAGTCGAGGTAAGTGCAGAAAATGTGCATAATGATCTGGGAAAACAAAAACCAAATCTCAGTTCATAGAATCACAGAATGGTTTGGGTTGGAAGGGACCTTAAAGATCATCTAGTTCCAACCCCCCTGCCATGGGCAGGGACACCTTCCATAGCTCAGGTTGCTCCAAGCCTCATCCAGCCTGGCCTTGGACACTTCCAGGGATGGGGCATCCACAGCTTCTCTGGGCACCCTGTCCCACTGCCTCACCCTCTCCAGGAAGAATTCCTTTGTGATACCTAATCTAAACCTCCCCACTTTCAATTTAAACCCGTTACCCCTTGTCCTGTCACTCCCTGCCCTGGAAAAGCCCTCCCCAGCTTCCCTGTAGCCCCTTGCAGGCACTGGAAGGTGCTGTAAGGTCTCCCCAGAGCCTTCTCTTCTCCAGGCTGAACAAGCCCAATTCTCTCAGCCCCTCTTCACAGGAGAGGTGCTAAAGCCCTCTGAGCATCTTCTATGATTTTCATCATAGAATCATCACAGAATGGTTCGGGTTGAAGGGACCTTAAAGGCCACCCAGCCCCAACCCCTGCCATGGGCAGGGACACCTTCCATAGCCCAGGGTGCTCCAAGCCTCATCCAGCCTGGCCCCAGGGATGGGGCATCCACAACTGGTTTCAAGTCACTGTTGACATGGAGGTGCTGCTCCTGCCGACCTTTCAGATTTAACCGCTAAGCATCACTACAAGTCTTCTCTCGAGCAGGATACGCAACACCTTCAGATGTCTGACAAGACACTGCTGCATTAAACAGCTGCCCTGCCACTCCATCTGCGCTGTTTCCCCCCTGTCCATTACAGCAAAGGAAAACAAGAACGAGGTGAAATGTTTTCCTAGTGTTAGAAATCGTTAGGTGACGGCAGGTATCTGGCTTGTTAAAAGACACAAGCAAGGGAACTGCCCCAGCACGATCCCCAGTTGCCAGGCTGCTCCCGTAGTTACCTGCCAGACGTTTTGGAGGACTCGGAGTAAGAGCCTGGCCTAAGATGAAGATATACAACTGCATTTTGTGATCTACACAATGTCCCATCCCTTTTGCCCAGGGAATCTCACCAACTACAACAGGATCATCTGTGTAAGCGATGCAAGCGGGACCTCACTGTGTTCCTCAAAACACTGGCTACCCGCTGCACAGCCTACGCTGAGAGGCAACGCCCTCTGAGCAGTCTTCGGAAACTTACAGAGGAGTCGGTGGGCAAGTCGGTGTCCCACTTGCGGCCTTTGAAATCTCCTCCTCTGTTCCAGCAGAAGGAACTCATGCATCCTCCCTGGGAAAGCTCTGAAAGCAACAAGGGTTACTCAGTCACTGGGGGTTGAAAAGTGTGGGGAAAACAGTATTTTATGCAAGTTTCAGGGGCTTCAGATGTGTTGCTGGTGTACAAAACAGGGAAAGTCGAGCAAATGAAATGCTTGTAAAGATATTACTATGGGGAGGTAGATTTGCAGAATAACTCTTATTTGTAGTTAATGAAGGGATTAGGAATGAAGGAATCCTGCCTGGTGAATGAAGGAATCCTGCACCCCAAGCACGCAGGAGGAAAATGAGAAATAACACTTCTAAAATCATTCCCAAAGTTACATCCAAGTCCCTTCTCCTCATGTCGCTATAAGAAGGGAAAACTGTGAAGAAACATCTCCCTTGCTTACAAGCAGCCCTCATCCCTGCCGTGCTCTTCCAACACCTCCGCTGAAGGAATGCCTGACGCCACCAACACCTGAGCGTGCCAACGGAAGCGTTTTAAAGTCAGGATGGGGCCACCACGTACCTTTGATCCGTTCCACCAAATACTCCTGGTTGGGTGTAAGATCCAAGTACTGCACTACAGCGTTCAGGGTTGGGATGAGCGGAGCTTTCACGAGCGCTGCCTGCTTCAGGCTGCTGATGCTGGCTTCTGCAACACAAGAAGAGCCAGTGCAGGTGAGCTACGAACGGCCCCCCTTACCGGGGCGTCACGCAGAGCTCTCCTTTTTGGCGCATCCTTCAAAGCCCTAGGAACACGTAACACGGGACGCTATCCCAAAATTTCCTTTCCATTCCAATGAAGTCGCCGATGTCCGCTTTACGTCCCAGAATATAAAAGCTACAAGGAACCAACATCCACTTTGAAGAGCAGAGGGAGAGTAACGAAGTGGAGGTGAGACCAGCACTGACCGGTTTTCCTACAGGCGTCGAGGCGATGTGGCCCATGAGGAGATGCCACAACAAACAGCCCACAAAAGGTGAAGTTCATTTAAATGCGCCACGTCAGACCCACCCCTTGGTTAAGGGGATACACATTTGAAGCAACAAGAGAAGCAGTTCCTTCAGAAATTGTATCGGACACGAAAACCAGAACTCCATCAGAATTTTAAAATATGGTTCTTTCGGAAAGCAGCTGATTTTAAGGAAGAATTTGGAAAAGGACGGAGTGTTGGAGACAGGGAGACGCTGTGAATTTCTAGCACATCTATCTGTAGAATGGTTTCTGACAGGTTAATATGCAATAATCAATGATAATATGAGCCTGTAATTCCCCAGCACCAGATTTAGAGGAAAGGGAAAAAGGAAAAAACTCAGGGGCAACAAAACAAAACAAAAGGAAAAAGAGACATTTATGAATTTTATACAGGACAAGCATCAGCGTGTCAGCCTCAGCATTTCTGGAAGGCTCAGGAAGAACCTTTCCAGCTTAGCGAAACGCATGACATGGAACAGAGACTGCAGCAATCCCCGGGAAATGGAACAATGATGTTTAACAGACCTGACCCTTAACAAACCCACCCCAAGCCCCAGCCATGGAGCAGCCCTCCGTTAACCACCACCGGGAAGCTCCTGCCACACCCTACCGCCGATCTGCAGCTCCGGACAGCCCATTCTTCTCAGCTGAGTGCTCACAGCCTCCATCTCTTGGACAAACGGCACGAGGATAGTCCCATGAATCCACTAGAAAAGAAAAAGGTGAAAATTCAAGAGGTCAGAAGCAACAAAAACGTTAGAAAAAAAACCCCAACCCTTAGCTTACATCCTACACATCATCACCATCACCAAGAGGCTTAACAACAGAAACACCGGAGCAAACCAAGGAGGAAAGTAATTAAATTAGACTATCAAGCTAGGCAGAGATTAAATGACCCTTTAATACCTTCTAAAAGGCCAGAAAATTCAGTGTAAAGGAGTCAGGAAAACAGAGTCTCTAGACAGTATCAGATGAAGCTTTTCTGAACAATGAGGAAAGGGGTGTTACAAAGCAGAGCCCTCCATCCCTACAGATAATTTGTGCTTTGATGAGTCCATTCCCTCTCCCATTTCTTTCAGGAAATCAGGGAGCTGATAAACACTACGTGTGGGATTTGTAAGGGGCAGGATTTGGGAACCGAAACAAGCTGGCCCAAGGTTTATGAACAGATGCTCAGGAATCTGGTATGGCTCTCATACTCATCCCTGCTTTTCACCAATCTCATTACCTGTCGTGGTTTAACTCTGACTGACAAACTACCACGAAGCCACTCTCAAGGGTACCCTCTCCCCTCCCCCAGCGGAGGGGAAGACTCAAAGGAAAAAGGCAAGGAAGGTCGTGAAATTGAGCTAAGAGCTATTCACTAAGTGAACCTAAATTATTATACGCAGCTGCAGTATCAGAAGCTGAGAGAGATCCCGAATTTGGTGCAGGCATCCCCCAGCACCAGCTAAAAAGACACCTTAGCATAAATCCAGGCAAAGAGCTTCATCCCAGCCACTGTAGAGAGAGTTAACTCTTTCCGGACTAAAACCATAGAATCATAGAATCACAGACTGGTTTGGGTTGGAAGGGACCTTAAAGACCATCCAGTTCCAACCCCCCTGCCATGGGCAGGGACACCTTCCATAGCCCAGGGTGCTCCAAGCCTCATCCAGCCTGGCCTTGGACACTCCCAGGGATGGGGCATCCACAGATTCCCTGGGAAACCTGTCCAAGTGACTCCCTACCCTCTCCGTGAAGAACTTCTTCCTGATACCTAATCTAAACCCCCCTGCTTTCAATTTAAACCCGTTACCCCTTGTCCTGTCATTACAGACCCTTGTAAAAAGTCCCCCCCAGCTTCCTTGTAGCCCCTTCAGGCTCTGGAAGGCTGCAATAAGGGCTCCCCAGAGCCTTCTCTTCTCCAAAGAAGTGCATGTTACCTTAAAAAAAAAAAAACAACCAACAACTACAACACACAAAAGCCAAACTACAGCCTTGATCGATGCTGTGACTGAAGGGGTAAGTCAAAGTTGGATTTACTAACTATTTTGCCATTGTGTGCAAATCTCCTCTGCTACAGCAATTCCTATTGACACGATCGAGGTTTATCTTTTTGCTCTTCACCAGGCTGCTCAGGACTGTCAAAAAAGTCAAACTCTGGGCTGGAATTCTCCGCGCTTTGAGCCCAGAAGGAGTTAGAAATAGTGCAGAAACACCAGTTTAGCCATATGAGTTACAGCAGGGAAAACCCAATCTCGTCACACGCGCGGTGCTGTTGCTTGCTCATTCAAAGGTGGATGAACTTCACAGCTGTGAAGTTTTCAGAACAGAAAGCACCGAGGTCAGGTCAAAACTGCATCTCAGTAGTCCTCTCTTCAAGCACGCTGCGTTTTTATCTCCATGTGCCAGCCCAGAGAGGCGCTGGAATTCTTCCCGCATCCCTAGGCGCTGAGAGGACGAGGAGGTACCTCTTCACTCTGCTGTGCTTGTTCTAAACACCAAAAGGTCCTTAAGAGTCGGGACTTACATTTCTGAGCTTGGCGGTCCAGGAATCCATGTGATCAAGGACCTGTCGGTTCATTGTCACCCGTGCCCAGACCTATGGGAAGATTTATTAAGGACATAAAAGAACTTAATACCAAGAGTTTTTAGGGTCTATGACAGTTTTTGATACTAACCATGGCACATAATGCAAATCTACAGCAGCTTCATATGACACTCCCACTCTCTACTCACCTTGCATGAACCCAAATTGAGTTTTAAGCTCTCTGCTCGATTAGAATAAACCTGATCTGAATCGTGGGATTGTTTTAAGAGGCATTTGAATGGGAAGCTTCATTAGGTTAATGTAGGAACTAAAGAAAATTGATCAAATTTAATTGACATGAATAGCATTCCTTCACACCAGACTTCTTTCAGGTGCAAGCGTGAAGGCAGCGCTCTATATCCTTCAGCTGTTCCACTGCATTAAACACAGAGCCGTTTCAACTCCGTTGTTATGTCACAAATGTATTTTGTCCAGCATAAGTCTTGCTGTCCAAGGGAAAAAGCATTTTCTAACTAAAATTCAGAATTTACAAAGTCCATTGACAGCAAAGTTGTATGAAGATGGGTAAACATTAGAGGATTTCTCTCTCCAATGTTTCTGATAGAGCTCAAATCCAAACTGTTGCCCAAAGCTGTATGTTTTCGAGGCCTGTTTCTCCCTCCTGACCCCCTTACAGTCGAATTTACCTCTTCTGCAGCTTGTTTTGAGCTCAGATCAGCTTCGTGCTTGTGTAGGGATGGAGCCTGGGACCTGCAAGCCAGCTGATACTGGAACTTCCTCAGCATCTGTGCGCAGTCTGCCATGGAACGGCTGTAGTTCCAAAAAGTTGGGCTGCCGGAAGGAGAGCTGGAATCTGAACTTCCTGAAACGATGAATTCATTAAACGGTCAAGTACAACTATTGCCAGGTAATTCTAGGAGCACAGTACAGGTGATACGTCAGTGTATTAAGGCTCTGACAAGAACACGACCTGCTGTGAATACGGATACTGAAATCGGTCTGCGTAAACACCGACTTCACCCTTATCTTGGCTGCCCCCATCCAGGATCCAAACTGCCTGCCGGTAATCCACCCCCTTTATCTGAAATGCCTTCTCCACAAGACATCCCTCTCATCAGGGTGACAAAGCCCATCGTATCATGGACCATCACGGCCAACAAAGGCTACAGATACTCTCCCAGCACACATGCATCAGCAGCATGTATCCGGTCCAAAGGAATCCATCGGAGGAAAACTTTCTGAAGCTCCTAAGCCACGGAGACCTGTAGCAACAATGGCCTCCTACCTCACACCCTGATTACTCAGCAGAACACCAAACTGACCTTTACCAGGGTCACTAATCATTACCACACAGAGGTTAGGTCTATTTACTAGCAGGAGGACGCTGGAACCCCTTGTCATTTTTCTCACCCGCAAAAGCCATCTCAGATAAACCCAACACCTTCTCGCCAAGCTTTTCCCATCAAATCACTTCATTTACCTATTTGAACTCTGTGCTGTTTCTCTTCTTCATTTCGAAGGAAGTTGTCCAGCGACTTGAGGTCTGTCAAAAAGTCGTCTTTGTCAGCAGGAGAATTATACATTGAAGTGCGGTAACGAGACCTCAGCCCGCCGCTTTCCATTGGTCCAATATTCGTGGGGTGCTGTGACCCACCAGGAGAGGGGCTGAAGCCAGAAACCTTGGGTGAATAAAACCAAATGGCCGTGTCACATGAGGAAGACAGAATTCCACCTGGACTGGTAAATGGTACGAATATAAAAGACTCGTCTGGGGTTTGCGTTGGGTTGGATTTAATCCTCTGCATTTACATTTTGGATTCTTATTATGTTCTGACACAAAGCAGCCACTCCAGAAGAAATGAAGTGACACTGGGGAAAAAGGTGACAAATACTGTCAATACTGTGACAAATACTGACACAACCCATTTACGTCTCCTTTGCAAAAGGAGCAAACACACAAATCCACAACTCCCCGCTGGCTGCTGCTCACCTTCGATGGCGTAAGGCACAGCACAAGGACCCAACTGTACGCTTGGAGCTGCCTTAGTCATTACCTTACTGTGGCTGCTGCTCGGTGAGTAGGTTACAACGCCGCTGCTCGACACAGCCTGGAACTGAGGGCTGTACCCTGTGATGTAACTGGTAGCAAACTTTGGGCTGGCACTGGAGGAGCGGAACGGGCTGTAATTCAGCACGCTCTGACCCTGGATCGGAGAAGGCGTCAAAGACAGGACTTTCTCTGCTGCCAGCTCATGTGGTGGCGTTGTTTGTACAGCTGCAATAAGGGAAAACAGAATTAGCGTGTGAATGCAGCAGCCCCAGACTCCTCCCCCCTTCAAAAGCACAACAAAAGGAACACACAAGGGTGTCTTATGGCAATTTTGTAAAGATGCTAGAAAGGACACTAGAAAAATCTGACCCGCCTGCGTCGTTTTCTAGGGGCAGACTAGCAGAGCGCAACACCTCTGTGCTCACATTTTGCTTTTGGTTAACACACCTTGTCAGATTCTGGTGTATTTTGGAACTTCGATGTTCAAAAGCTTTGTGAGCGACTGCTCTCTAGGCCGTCTTTTTCAAACCTCACACGAAGGTCTGTTTGTCCCTCTAATTTGGTTCTTGATATCCAGCGTGATATTAGTAGGATATCAAAATTAAATGTAGGCCTGCACTCTCTGCCTTGCTCCTAGTCCCATGTATAGGGTACAAATTTCTCGTCCAGCCTCACAACCTTCAAGTCTCTCACTGTCCTTCAGCAGCCACTATCATCATGTCCTTTTTCACCGTGTGTTGTTTGTTCCCCCTCCAGATCTCCCCACAAACACACAAGTTACCACCTGATGCTGCGGATTTTAATATGCTGCAGGTAATTTAGTTCACCGCTCACGTCCAATGAGGTAATTCAGAACTCACTTCACTGAGGAGTCCTGCACTTGGGAAAGGTGCCATCTCGAAACAAAAGAACAGCAACAACAACAGAAGATATTTATTCCACCCACCCATATTCTGCAACCCCAGCAGGATCTGCTGGCGAGGACTCATGACCAAGCTCGTCGGTGCCACTGTGTATTTGAAGTACCTCCAGAAATCAAATAAGGCATTCAAGATGAACAGAGACGCAAGTGCAAGTTCTAGAAGAAACACAGAAGTTTTTACCATAGCTAGAGCATAAGGAAAAATAAAATGATATTATTCAGTACCTGAAGGGGCTACAACGAAGCTGGGGGCACTTTTTCCAACTGTCTGTAGTGACAGGACAAGGGGTAAGGGGTTTAAACTGAAAGAGCGAGATGGAGATGGGCCATCAGGAAGGAATTCTTCCTGCAGAGGGTGGGAGCACTGGGACAGGTTCCCAGAGAAGCTGTGGATGCCCCATCCCTGGAAGTGTCCAAGGCCAGGCTGGATGAGGCTTGGAGCAACCTGGTCTATGGAAGGTGTCCCTGCCCATGGCAGGGGGGTTGGAACTGGATGATCTTTAAGGGCCCTTCCAACCAAACCTTTCTGTGATTCTATGATTTGCAAAAACAGGCATATGTCCAATAAAAATAGGTCATTATGAGTGCTACCAGTAAGTACCAATTTGGGCAAGTATCTAAGATTTCTTCAACTTCTCATGTAAATACCACTGGAGGTAATTTTCTCTGCTGTGCTGATATTAATTTATAGTGCTAAAATTTAATTTTTATAAATGGATGGACATTTTCCAAAAAGGACATAAATGACTGCAATGAACTTCTGCGGCATTTCTCAAACATCATCTTCTGTGAAATCACCTGTCACACATCTTACGATTTTTCTCCCCCTCTTACTCCTTTTCATCCTCTATTTCATACAGCTACCTTAGAGTCTACTCATCTGAAACAAACTTTAACTACCAATGAAATGCCATCCACACCCACAGTAAGTAGTAAAATCCAGGGTGTTCTCCAAAGCCTTGCTCCACACACTGACCAGATTTAATGCACCAAACAAGTTCTTCATGCCCCTTAATGACATAGCTAAGATATATATGTATATATATGTGTAAGAAAGGTATATATATACATCTTATCGGTCACTAAACCAGATGAAATTCCAAGTTTCAGAGGAGCTAACAGAAATCAAACCAAAGTTTTGATTTAAATTTAAAACAATGCCCCCAAAATAACCCCAAAGAAACACCCAAAAGGCTGGTTTAAAAACTACTTCTCTGCACTAGAATTGGTTTAAAACCTGCTTCTCTGCAATAAAACTGACAAGTGAAAAATGAAAAGAACACCGAAAATGGATTTAAATGCTGCAGCGACTCACCAATATACCAGAGCGGCCAGTAGGTGATGTTGTAGTACGAGCTGATAAGTTTTCCAGTCCTGAAAAGAAAAACGAGAAGTTACCATTTTGCAACAATTCAGCCCTGGGAAATATTCAGGGGTATACAAAGTGGATGCTTTGCTTGTTTGAATCAGATGTAACAACATACATTTCAGTATATATCATGCCTGCAACAGACACATTAAGGAGTCCCCAGGCCAAGACTGCTTTCCGGGCTTCAGTCTCCTTCCTCATCTTGATGGTCTGGTCGATGAGGGAAGGTGCTGGACTCTGCTGTGGTGCCATTCTCTGTAGTAACAAACACAGAGAAAATACACAACCTGTCAACTTTTGTACAGTAAGATTCTCAGTCAGCACAAGGCTAAAGAGAAAAAGCCAGCTGTAATCCAAACCAAACTGTATCAGAGAGCTTTACTTTTAGCCAGACCCATGTTTAGCACACTTAAAAAAAAAAGCAGATTTTTAACAGTAGAAATTGGTAATATTTCTTTGATGAACTCTACTGTCAGCCCTGTCACCTCATCACTGAGAAACAGCGTCCATTTTCTCGAGTGAGGAGCAAACGAGAAGGTAGAGACGGATTCCAAGCTCATTACTGAAAAATAACATCCTTCAAAAGAGAGAGACAAAGCTCCTGCCTTCTCAGGCAAAGGAAGCCAGAAGAAAGAAAGGCCTTGCACAGCTCTGCAGGTTTTTATTGAAAATTCCCTCTCATTTCCATAGGAAACAGAGTGTTTTCAGACAGGACAGCCACCACCTGTGGATTCAGCACATCTGAATACTCTCTGCACACCTTCCTACCTTAACACCCAGTAACACCTTAGGTGAAAGAAATAACTGTTTGACTTTTTCTGCTAGTCCCATCACTAAAATACACTACCATTCCTTCCCACCATGCGCTTAAAACCTTGTTGCATAATTCTTCACTCAGTGGAAACATTAATTTGCTTTTGGGGACAAATACTTCAACTGTACATTTCTACCTAAATTAAAAATTAAAAATACAAACCCCAAATCACGTTACCTGCTTTGCACTGTTACAATGATTCAACGGTGAAATAGTCAGCATCAGGATTACTGGAAGAATCATACAAGAATATGTTGCCTGGTACTTTTTTTGACAGGCATTTCATACAGGTTGAGACCCCAGACTTCCTTCCCACACTGACAGCCCTGAGCAGAGATCCTCTTCCCCATCCTCACACTCCCAACCTCTCTCCCTGAACCATGTCCTCCTGCAGGCACAGATCTTGTCTTTTTACCAGGGACAAGGGGTAATGGATTTAACCGGGAAGAGGGAGATGGAGATGGGACAAGGGGAAGGAATTCTTCCCGCAGAGGGTGGGAGCACTGGGACAGGTTCCCAGAGAAGCTGGGGATGCCCCATCCCTGGGAGTGTCCAAGGCCAGGCTGGATGAGGCTTGGAGCACCCTGGGCTATGGAAGGTGTCC